GGGCGGCAGCTTTGACCATGGCAGTCAGGCCGTTTCCGCGTGTGCGGGCTACTGAGCACCCTGCGCTGATGAAGTAAATTGGAATCGATACCAACTAAAGATTGCACAGAACGCATTAGACGCTGCCACGAAACGTAGGTACGGGAACCAACAGGAACAGAACAATCATCTAGAACAAGAGCAGGTGCGTCTCCAACGGATAAGAAAAACACAAAACATCACCACCCAAGTTGACGCAGTATGACGGAGATCGAAAGCCGAAGGCCAAATCAATCCGCCCCGGACGCGTGGCAAAAGATTTACGAAACTGCGGATATCTCATCCGAGTTGGGTTGAAAGAAAAGATTAATGAAGCAGACACTGCGATCGATAACCTTGGTAGTGCTCGCAACACCCACAACCAAGCATCAAATGAATTAAAAGTAGTCTCTGAAAAACTCACAACCTGTGAGCGAGACATTGCGCGAGAAAGCAACCTATTTGAGGCAACCAACAAGAGCTGCAATCTGTAAAACCTATTATATAGGATTTGACAAAGACATGTAAACACGAAACTCGTTTTGGGAAGTACTGCCCGATGCCTTCCACGGAGTCGGCCTAGAAGATCCGCCAATCATTTGATGATAATCAGACCAGAGCCGCATAGCAGGGACGAGAAACACAAAACAAAATGAGCTCTCACAACTCAACATCGTCTTAGGGAAGGGACAGAACCTATTGATATAGGGCAGAGGAATCACAAAGAATTGCAAGCCAAAATCGAAGGCCTAATAAAAGCGAAGGGAATGGCTTTTCAGACGCTGCCCGTGACAAAACCGGCGGATTGACAACCGAAGACAGATTGACCGCCGCTATCGAATGTTAATACACGATTAAAGCAAAGCTGACCGTCGTGACAAAGCGGACCAGAAATTACAGGGAAGCCGAGACCAACGCACCGAAAAACAAGCCAATCACCGGAACTGCCAAGACCGGCAAGCGGAATGTGGTGAAAACTTTGAAACAGCACACACGGCTTACTTTGATAAGTTAAGCAGCGTAGGATTTGACTCACTACAGGCGCATGATGCGCGTTCCGAGCAGACGTCAGATATGCACGGATACAAAAAGAGATAGATGATTTTACCCATGAAAAGCACCGACTTGAGGAAGAAATCACCAAATTGCAGACTCAATTTGAGGAAACCCCGTTTGATCCACAGGCATTATAACGAATGCAGCACGGCTGAAGAAATTGAAGCGCAAGATTTTCCAGAAAAAGAGGACAGCGAGTATTTTGTAGCGCAAAGAGAAAAAATAGGCCGAATTGACAGTGCCTCTTTCCCAGCGGAGGCTCTTGGTGATGAAATTCAGAAATCGGGACACGAATTGAACGATGGAGTAGTTTACAAATGCAATTCCGGCCAATGACCTACGCGAGATTTGCGTTGGATATTATGTTTAAAAAGGCCAGTCAGCCGCGATTGCCAACACACAGTTTTGGAGTACCTAACCTTAGAACGTTAACCAACTCAAAGGTTGAAGGCATGGCAGGCTTACCGTTGTTGATAGGTGGAATGCCAATGAGGAACGCCCGGTCGAAACACTCTCCGGCGGGGAATCGTTCCTGACGAGCTCTCGCCTTGGCACTCGCGCTCTCTGAAACTCAGCCGCGGGCGATCCAGCATCATCGCTTTTCTTGACGAGGGTTTTGGGGACCTCGATCCGAAACGCTTGACGTTGCCATCGCCCGCCCTTAAGGGCTACAGATACAAGGACGCAGCATTTTTCTTATCAGCCACATTGGGGAGTTAGACGCGGCGTATTCCCGTCGAATCGCTGTGGAAAAAATGGGGAATGGGAGTTCGCGGGTGCAGGTACGCGGATAACGAGAGTAGACTAAATGATGAAACTGCTTTCAGTGATGTTCGCAGCCCAAGGAAGTGTCGTATATAACGGTGACGCATCAAAACAGGATTTTCAAAGAGCCGGTATCCGGTCGGACGATGTGATGCGGCGGTTGAACCTGATGGCGATGGGCAGGCGCATCCAACCGTTCACGGCGGCATCCACAAAGCGGTCTACATTTATACGATTGAGCATTACGACCATTGGAAACGCGAATTGGGCAGAGATGACTTGACCTACGGACAGTTTGGTGAAAACTTAACGTGGAAGGCATGTTAGAGGGAACGGTTCATATCGGAGACGTTTTCGGATAGGTGAAGCGTTGGTGAAGTGTCGCAACCGCGCGTCCCGTGCTTTAAGCTAGGTCTTAAAATGGGGAACCCGCAGATAGTCAAACCATTTTTGGCGAGCGAGCGGGTGGGGTTTTATGTGCGTGTCTTAGAGGAGGGAAAAGTGGGTGCTGGCGATGCTATCGAGCGGACAAAAATTGGAGAGGGGCAGATGACAGTGAAAGAAATCGTCCACCTGCGCCACTTCGACAACACGAATGCAGCAGCCTGCTGAGAAGGCGGCAAACCTTCCTGCCCTGACGCCTAGCTGGCGCGACTCGTTCGAGGAAATTGTGGTCAAAGCTCAAGGGGAGCAATAGGTGATGAAGCCACACACGTCCCTGATTATGGCGGTGAGCTCGACGCAAGATCTCTACACGCGATGGTGCGGGTCCACGATTCGCCAGCGAGGCGGATGGGATTCGGCTCCGGGAAACTCGGAGTCATGCTGATGCAATCCTTGTTGGGGCAGGAACAATCATCGCGGATGATCCGACATTTACTGAACATGGCAAGTACAAGGAGCTACGTCTCCAACACGGTCTAGCACCCAATCCAATCAAAGTCGTTGTGAGTGGCAGCGGGAGTGTTCCTGAAACCGCTCGAATGTTCCAACCTAACGGTGCACCTGCATTGGTTTTTACAACGGAACGCATTCCTCCAAGCCGGCTTGCACCAGCTGCAACGGGTCGCGGAGGTTCACTGTGTCGGTGAAACCACAGTCAATTTTCGGCGTGTGGTTGAGATTTTGGGAGAGGTGTATCAAGTCAAGCAGTTGTTGATTGAAGGTGGCGGGCAGGTAAATTTCGATCTATTTCGGGCGGGATTAATCGATGAGGTATATCTCACTTTATGCCCAAAAATCATTGGCGGGCGAGATGTGGTGACGAGCGTTGAGGGAGATGGATTCGATTTCCTCGATATTGTTGACGTTGAACTACTAGATCAACGCACTGTGGATAGTGAGATTTTTCTGCATTATCGCAGTTCAAAGGGATTGAAATCTGCATTGTGCAGCGCGAGTTTACTAGTCAGACTCCGAATCGATGGCGTCGGCTTTTCTTCTCTGACATCGATCTCTTTTTTTATCTTACCAAAACCCCTCAATAATTTGGGCCCTCGAAAGTCGATGCGCTTGAACTTCAACAACCTTGATAACACCCACCTGTTTTGGAATAACTCCAAGTACATCACCTGTATCTGGATCAATCAGCGATTCAGCCGTGTAAACCCTTAATTGCTGATTGAGGGCAACACCTTTGTCGGAACCGATGTTGATATAGGTATTTTCAGGATCCTTTGAATCAACGTAAACGATAGATCCTTGTATTACGGTTGGCTGAGGAGAAGGCTGTCCGGATTTACTCACGTTATTTTGTACCGTTACCTCCGCACCGGGCAATGCGGGGCCAATGTTCTCACGCAAAGCTAACACTATCTTGTGCAAAGCATCGTCCGTTGCCATACCAAACAGGGTTTTATTGTACTGCTCACTCCCGAATTCAATTTTGTTCAACTCAGAGGGCGCAACGATCGGGCGGGGATTCCTTTTAAGCCCCGGTGACTGTCCGAATTGCAATTCTGTGCCCTGTTCGGTAACAACGGCTTCAAAGGGACCAATCCTCGTCCCGCCAATCTGGTGTTGCTTTCTGGCTGCGATTTTAGGGTTGTCAATTTCAGTGCCCGATGTGCCGAAGAATTGCATCTCAAGTGGATAGAGGCGACGTAAAGACTTCCCATTAACTGCACGCCACCCACATAACTGGCTGTTGCAGATCCATACCCCTGTCCACCTTGTCTTATTAGGCGTCCGGCATTCGCTTTCACGCGCTCTTGGTTGAATTTCCGTATATCGCCCACGATGAGCGCCTGCACCTTGAGTGCCTTTGCCAACTGTGCCCGTTTTTCCGGGTCAGATCGAAGCCCCCTCCTAGATAATCCCGACTCCGCCATTGCATCCAGCAACTCATCTTGGCTGACCGGCTCATAGACCTCTGATTGTCCGAGTTTTCGGTTAAGTAATTCCGTAAACCCTTCTTTCAGATGCCATCTTGTATGGCCCTTGCGTCCACCGAAGAGTTTGCCGAACGGTCCAGTGGGGATGCAACCGCAGCCTGTTGGATGATCGAAGCGACTGTGATCTTCAAAGTATAGGACAACAACTCGCTTTGGCGCGGCGAAGCTGCTAGGCACAAGCAGAATTAGCAGGCACAGCACAATTGCAGCGGTGAGGTATTTACTTGGTAGTGTAGACCGGTGATATGAGTATGGATATTGAATTTTCACGATAAGGTTGTATCCTTTTTGAATATTTTTGTCCTATGCCTTAGAACCTGTTTTAAAAAGCAAGGAATGATCCCGCGGTGCTGTGGATTTGTCAATCCACAGCGAGCGGCATTGGGGGGATAGGGGTTGAGTCTCCCAACCCGTTGGGCGAGGGAACCTCGCCCCTACGAAACCAAGCTCCCCGATAAGTCGGTTCCGGCGTAGCCGAGAATCCTCGACGAGTCGGGAGATGCAAGTTGAAAACTCTCGGAACGGAGCACCTACCATTAATCTGACACGGTTTCCTGAAATATAGGGATAATATGCCGTTGAATAGTGTACGCCTTCCTGGATTGCGGAAGAACCCGAGTTTTGAAGAAAAAACTCGGGTTCAGGGCAAATAACTTTACCCAAAATGACTTTTCAAACAGGCTCTTATAGATTCTGCTCGTATTTGATAAAAATTGCTTTAATCTGTCTTTCCTCATCGGCACTTGTGATGGTGATAGAGGCTATGCTGCGTTTCTTTTCTCCCCGTTTTGCTTCCTCGTTGTATGTGGTTGTTTCTCCTGTCTGTATCCGATCGAATCCGTGAATAACGATTCCATCAGCACCCTTCTCGCGTGCCTTCGCTTCTAACTGTTTTTGTAAATTTTCTATGCTGATGCCTTCATTCGCTTGTGCAATAACATGTCCCATCACCCGATAATCTTCCCTTATATCCTCTTCTGAAAAGTAAAGATCCACATGGGTGGTAGGCTGATAAGACTGCCCGATATAGTCGATTTTGGCGCAAGCGGCAACGAATAGGACCAATAATGCTAGGAGTGAAACAGTGCATTTGAACATGATAATCCCCCATGAAAGTGAATTTGGTGAGTTGATCGGTTCTGTGAACACTTTAGCGAAGCCAGATAAAATCTGATGGCATGTTCACTGGCTTTATCAACCACAAGCAATTTAGATACCACCGTTATATCGACTCACCTGAAAAATGGTGCAAAACACTGATTTTGTCGAAAAACGCTTTCTCCGGGCGACTTTGCATCTGATTTCGACATGCGCCGTGATTTCAGAAGAAGCGTCTACTCGTAGGGAGATTGTTGGAACTGTGCCACACTACCGTTGCAAAAGTGCTACACTAGTATTGGGATATGCTGACATTTATGGGGTAATAACAATGTATCAATACCTAACTGACCCGGTAATCATTGGAAGTTCTTTCTCTATCACACACATACCCATTGGTGATATAACACAAGCGAGCCACTCTTAATCTCTAGGTGGAGATGCCAACAATGAGCGCAGCCGTTGGCATTGATGTCTCTTGAGCCTTTTTGAACGCCTCGCTAATATAGGGAATATCACCATCGGTTTCAATGGTGTTGTATGGTAAACCCCACGCCTTGAGTGTCGGTTCAAGGAAGGTCGCGGCGGTGTCTAAACGAGGGGCATCAGGTTGCATTGTGTGATAGCCGCGATAACCGATCAGCGATACCACGGGGATTTCCATATTAAAAACTGTGCCTCGGATAGCATCTCCAGACTCCAGAAAACCGGTATTCTGGATGATGATCACAGGGTGTTTTCCACCAACGTATAAGCCCGATGCGATGGCGAATGCTTCACCTTCCCGACTGACGGTGATGACATCAATTTCGGGGTCTTCGTGGAGTCGCTTGAAGATTTGTGCTGTCCCGTTGTCGGGCAAGCCGATTACATGGCTCACGTTCCATTTTTTCAACTCGTCTACAATCTTCTGTGCGGATACCAAATCGTGTTCCTCCTCAATCAATCAATAACTTTTCTTGCTACTTCCGCCCATCGACGAGCGAATCGACAACTGCTGGCTCAGCAAGTGTCGAGGTATCTCCCAGATCATCGATTTCTCCTTCAGCGATTTTCCGAAGGATGCGCCGCATAATTTTGCCGGAGCGGGTTTTGGGGAAGTGCGGGTGCAAACTGAATCTTGTCCGGCGTCGCATGGGGTCCGATATACTGGCGTACCACACCCTTGATGCCGGTCTCGATGTCATCTGAGGGAGATACGCCGCTCATCAGTGTGACGTAGGCGTAGATACCCTGTCCCTTAATCTCATGTGGGTAGCCGACAACGGCTGCTTCAGCGACCGTTTCGTGCTGCCCGATTGCCCCTTCGACTTCAGCTGTTCCCAAACGGTGTCCGGAGATATTCAGCACATCGTCAACACGCCCGGTGATCCAGTAATAACCGTCTTCGTCTCGCAATGTACCATCGCCGGTCATGTAGTAGCCGGGGAATCGATCGAAATAGGTTTCGCGGAAGCGTTCGTGGTTCCCGTAGACGGTTCGCATCACGCCGGGCCAAGCGGTTTTGATACATAGGTATCCGCGTGCTGGGTTGCCCTCAACCTCTTTGCCTTCTTCATCCAAGATGACCGGTTCAATTCCGAAGAAGGGGAGCGTTGCGGAACCGGGTTTAAGCGGTGTCGCTCCCGGTAACGGCGTCATCAAGATACCGCCGGTCTCTGTTTGCCACCATGTATCGACAATTGGGCATCGCCCATCTCCGACGATGTTGTAATACCAGAGCCATTCAGGTTCTTTGATTGGCTCACCGACGGTGCCAAGCAGTCTCAGGGTGGATCGGCTATGTTGCGTAACCCAGTCATTTCCCTCTTTCATCAAGGCACGTAAAGCGGTTGGTGCAGTGTAGAAGAGATTGACTTGGTGCTTGTCGATTACCTGCCAGTAACGCCCGAAATCAGGGTATGTTGGGATACTTTCAAACATGAGGGTAATAGCGCGGTTTGAAAGGGGACCGTACACAATATAAGAGTGTCCTGTGATCCAACCGATGTCAGCAGCACAGAAATAAACATCGCCTTCGTGATAGTCGAAAACTATCTCGTGGGTGAACGATGTATAGACGAGATAGCCGCCGGTTGTGTGAAGCACGCCTTTGGGTTGACCGGTTGAACCGGAAGTATACAGGATAAATAGCGGATCTTCGGCGTCCATCTCCTCCGGCGGGCACTCATCGTCGGCGGTTGCCATCGCTTCGTGCCACCATACGTCTCGTGATTCATCGAAATCAACGGAGTCGCCGGTGCGACGGACAACGATAACGCCTGTAATCGAGGGGCATTTTGCCACAGCTGCGTCGCCGTTGGCTTTCATCGGGATGCCGCTGCGGTCTCCACGGAATGCGGTGTCTTGCGTAATTAGCAACTTGCACTCGGAGTCATTGATGCGGTCGCGTAGAGAATCGGCTGAAAATGCGCCGAACACAACGGAATGGACGGCACCGATACGCGCACATGCTAACATGGCAATCGTCAACTCTGGGACCATCTGGAGATAGATACAGACGCGGTCGCCCTTACGGATGCCTTGCGCCTTGAGGACATTGGCAAAGCGTTTGACCTGCGCCAACAACTCGCTGTAGGTGAAGGTTTTATCCTCGTCGGGACTGTTGCCCTCCCAGATGATTGCGGTTGCGTCACCGTGTCCCTGCTTCCACATGTCGGTCGAGACAATTATAGCAGGCGTTCAACTTTCCGCCATCAAACCATTTGATGTTGGCGTTCACAAAGTCATATTCTCGGACGGTGTCCCACTTCTTATACCACGTAATGCGTTCAGCGACATTCGCCCAGAAGCTTTCTGGATCTGCCACTGATTCATCGTACATCTTTTGATATTGGTCCATGCTGCTTATATGTGCATTGGAGATTGGATAATTTGTATTTTCTGGTGGAAATATCTTGGCTGCCATAAAATTCTCCTTAGAATTTGCAATCAAGCAAATACGCTGACAGAAGTTTTGAAATGTTTGTAAAGTTCCTTTATTATAAACAAAAATATGATGTTTGTCAATCAAAAACAGGTGATGCTGTTTCGCTATTACTCCTACTCGTTCTCCAACTCTGCTAAAGTCCATCGTTTTGCGGTGTTTCAAGCCTCTCAATGGCAATAAAGGTATCCTCCATATCCTCAAGATATCGGAGAATGGCTTCACGCGCATAAAAACTCTTTGTTCGCCCTGTTTTATGCGCTAATAGTTCCAACCGCTCCATAATCTCCGGTGCAAGACGAACGGATAACATCTTTACCCTTCCTTTTCTTGTAATAATGCAAGTTGCCATCGGTTTTCTGCGGAAAAACACGGGGGATTTACGTAGGGTTATTTAGTTTTCGGTTTTCTCCCTGTCTGAGTAGGAAGTCGCGATCGGGAGATTGCTGCTACAGCGATGTGTGTCGGGATTCGGAAATCCCTCCTATAGGAAAACTGAATGCCCCTCAAGCAAAGATGTTTTATCTATACTCCTCCCCGATAAATCGGGATTCAAAGCAACCGGAGCGCGGGGATTGGACGCCTTGGAATACTATAGACATATCGCTCCTCTGGAGCGAAAGATTGCACACATCAACTTTAATGACAATCTGATGAATTTCCAATACCTAGGTTCTGTTGACATTTAGGTGAGGCGTATCCGTCATTCGCCGATAAATACCTAATCGTAGAGGCGAGGGAACCTCGCCCAACGGGTTGGGAAACCCAACCCCTACAGGTTGGTGCTCAGCCTACAAGTTGCTTTTAGCAGGTGTCGAGTATGGAAACTCGACCTACGGGCTATTTAGCAACTTGCGTCGCACTAGTCTTTGAAAGATTGGATCTTTCAATCATTTTTCGTGCAAAATTCTTTGAGCGTGCGATCCAGCCGTGTTCCGCCGGGCACATATGCCAAAATCAACCCGTCAATCACCTGATTCTGATCCGGGATAACTCCGGTCAAACGTTCCGCCGTTACTCCTTTGGAGAGCAGCAGGTAGAATGTATCCTTTTTTAACCCTAACGTTGTAAAGAGATTCCCTTGTCCTTTTGAAATGACGAGATCTGCATTGAGGAGTGCATTCGCAAATTCTCCTGTCCCTTGATAGAGATTGGTTCCGACGGTGTTCGAGCCTGACGAAATTAAATGCACATCGCCAACAGCGATTTGCTCTCGAAGTTTTTGGAAATGCGGCTGTGCAGTAAGGTCCTGTAGATCATCGATCGTCGCATCGTTAGTTGCGGGTTCTGCTTTGCCAACAACCGTAATCTGGTGTCCGTGCTCGGCGAGGGATTCTATAAGCCACAGATCAAAGACCGACTCACCATCGTTATCGATTAGCCAGACAAGGTGCTTTGGATCGCCTTCGATAACTGTTGACTGAAATCGGTCAAAGCAATCGATCGCCAAGGAGGCATGAATCGCCTCCTGCAATACAAGATTGAAGTAATCTGGGTTCTCCCTGAGTTTCGCCACAACCCTTGCGCTGCTGTAATCAATTATGTTAGCAGCGATAACCAACTTTAGTCGTTCCAGCCAATCGCAGTCCGAAAATTGGACAAGTAGGTTAAATGCTGTTTGCCTAGCATTGAGCTTGTCCCTGCGATATGGATCGGGATTTCCTGTGCAGAGCATAACAACCTTGAAGATACTTCCCCAAAGTTCTTCGGGCGTCAGATCATCAATGACATGTGCACCGTTAGTTTGCCGCAACTCTAGTAGTTCTCCAACAGCGTTTATTGCAGCTTGACGCAATATCGGGTTGCGGGTGGCACGTTCAATCAATTCACGTTCTGAATGCGAGCTGACATGCCGGCGGAGGTTCTCCCAGTCTGGCAATCCACGCTTGTCATTGAAGTTGAATACGCCGGGTTTGTAGTCGGGTAAGACCAATTGATCCAGAAGTGTTTGAGAAATCTGGCTTGAAACGGATTGTGTATAGCGGACTGGGTGATTGGCAGATCGGCTGGGAACACCTAACTGCTTGTCACTCATGGAAAGCCCTGTTGGAAGCACTATTGCCCTTGCAGCAACGGATTTGAGGTTTGCCGCCCTCCCGACTTTCACACAGTCAAATTGGCTATTTTCGATATAGCTGCCGACATCCAAGCCAGTAATTGGTGCGGCGATTTCGGTCGAAAGCGGGTTTGATTCAAACGTCGTGTCCTTTGCGGTCACACCTTTCAAACCAACGCAGTCACCGACGGTTGTGTTGCCTAGCAGCACGGTGTTTTCGAGGCGGCAGTAGTTCCCAACCTCCACCCCATCGCCAAGATGGATGCGCCCTAGAAGGTAACAACCGTGACCAATTTCGATATTGTTATTCGCCAGCGTGATTTGTGCCGCCGGATCAACCCGAACCCCTTTCTGAATCAGTTTTTTCTTGGCATCTGCAAATAGGTGTTCCTCGCCGGTGAGGACGTTTGACCAACGATTGACACCGAGATAATTTCGCCGTGATGGATATAAGCGTTGGTTCTCAAGCCGTCTTCGCAGCAGTGGTAGATCGAGATCGACATGCTGGAGTTCGGACTTGTCGCCGTGGGGTTGCAGGCGATCCATTCGGGCGATGCTGCACGCTCAGCGTGATAAGGTGATGCCGGTGTTGGTGTAGGCTTCCCTCTGCTCCAACTGTAGCGACGCCACACGTATCCTCCGTGTCGTCAGGTCGTACCACTCTTTGAGTGCCGTATGAATTTTCCCTTCCCTCACTGTCAAAGAACAATCCCCCTTTGTCGACGACAGTCAGTTGCGGCGGGTTTGTCTTTCGGCAAATCACCGCCGCACTACACCAACACATCAGGAGAGGTACGTGTTTCACACCTTATTCGCTCAGATGGGAAATCGCCATCTTCGTCTCAGTCATCATGACTTGGTAGAGTTGGAAAATTCCATTTAGTGACAGGGTTATTTGTTATGGAGAGCACTTGGATCTATTAACCTTCTTATAGTCCAACCCGCACAAATACATGTTAGTCGGTATCTCCGCAAGGAACTGATGTCCCTGCTCTGGGGTGATGTAACCTCCATCCAGAGCTAGGCAAACGACTTCATCTAAGAAACACCCTAACACTTCTAACACTTGAGTTCGCTCAAGTAAAAAGTGCTCACGCTGAACCATTTGTCCAAACTGACTCAAAGTGCAGTGATCTCACCACCGGCGGGCATAAATGCGATCTCACGATAACTTTCAGGGAATTCTATCTGAATCTTCTTACCGAGTGAGAGTTCTGAGATTTTTTGAGGGAGGTCCTCCAAAATAAGAATTATATCTGGATCCAAAAAGACATCAAACTTTTCATCTCCAATTTCTATTAACACGCGATGGTTGCATTCAAAGCATAAACGTCGTAATCTTCGTTCAAAATCAGAGAGTTCTCCGAGTGTATCTTTGGGAGGTGTAAGCCCCTCCCATACCCAAGGTTTTTCTAATTGAATTTTGAACTTCTTAATATCATTCATTATATCAGTCCTCATGTTATCACAAAATCATCGGTCACAGGGTAGGCTGAATTAATCGTTCCGTCAGGTCTCCTTTGAACGAATGCGTGAGTCACATCATCAATTATAGTACCATCGGGGTAATACACCCGACCAATGGGACGTTTGAAATCTATTACATAACTTCCAGAATGCTTTGGTATCAGCTGTTCAGCGATTACCCAGCCCTGTTCCTTCAGCCACTGCCCTTGAGGGTTACCAGTGCTAGCTGCTCGTCCCACTAGGTCTCCCGGTTTCTTCTTTGGCCCATGATAACGCTCAATATGGTCATAGGCTTTTGCCGATTGAGGATTGCTCCACTGAGGCTCTGTTCCACGACCTGTCCATGGATGCTCACTTCCAACCATGACATGACGCTCTTTTATATCCTGTTGCACAATTTCGGCGGGCTTGGGTTCCCCCATGCGAGTTCTCTCCACAAAAGAAAGGTTAATGTCTCTTGAGGTATTGTTTCAATATCAAAAACCAAAATGTTGTGTTGATATTCGGAGGACATTTTATTTTTCATCCTATAAAGCAAAACGTGAAACGTAATAGATTCTTACGTTTCACGTTTTACTTTTCACATCTTACCCGCTCAGATGGAAGATTGCCATCTTCGTCTCAGTCATCTCCTGTACAGCGTACTTCGGTCCCTCTTTGCCCATGCCGCTCTCTTTCAAGCCGCCATAGGGCATGAGGTCTGCCCGCCACTGTGTTCCCCAATTCACCATCAGGTTGCCGGAGTCGACTTCACGCACGAACCGCATCGCCCAATCATGTTTTCGGTGAAGATTGCTGCGCTCAAGCCGTAGTTGGTGTCGTTGGCAAGGGCGATCGCATCGTCGATGTTTGAAACCTTCGTTACACCGACAACTGGTCCAAAGATTTCGTCGTATGAGATTTTCATCTCTGGCTTGACATTGGCGACGAGTGTCGGAGCGTAGATCTGCCCACTTCTTTCACCGCCGGTGAGGAGTTCAGCACCGCTGCTGACCGCTCATCAACCCATTCGCTAACGCGGATGGCGTCATCTTCACGAATCATTGGTCCCATCTTGGTTGGTGCCTCAAGGGGATTTCCGGTCGAGATACCTTCAACGGTTGATTTGAAAGCATCAAGAAAATCGCCGTAGATGTCCTCATGGGCAATAACCCTTTGTGTTGAGATACAGACCTGCCCTGCATTGGAATAACCGGATGCTGTCGCAGCCGCTGCGACTTTCTCTGGATCTGCGTCCGGCATAACAATCAGTGGGGAGTTTGAGCCGAGTTCCATCGTTACACGCTTGAGTCCAGCGGTGTGACAGATGTGTTCTCCAATATCACGGCTGCCGGTGAAGGTAATTTTCCGGACGCGCCGATCCGCACAGAGGCTATCGCCAATTACGCTACCCGATCCGGTCAAGCATTGGACCGCTTCAGGCGGTGTGCCTGCTTCGAGGAAGAGCTCAACCAGTTTCAGTGCCGACAGCGGTGTGTCTGTGGCGGGTTTAACGATGATTGCGTTTCCTGCCGCGAGTGCGGGACCCACTTTGTGACAAACGAGGTGCAGCGGGAAGTTAAACGGACTAATCCCAACGACGATGCCACAGGGAACTCGTACCGTGAAGCCTAATTTTCCCTTAACACCTGGTCCACCTTCGAGGGGGATAACTTCTCCGTAAAGTCGCTTGGCTTCCTCTGCGGAGAGCGCGATTATCTCGGCTGCGCGTCCGGCTTCCATCGTTGCTTCGGCAAGGATTTTTCCTTCCTCCAAAGTAATGATTCGAGCGAGTTCATCAGTACGCTCTGCCATCATCTCGGAAACCTTGTGAATAATTTCATACCGCTCATAACCGGTCATTTTCGCCATGATCTTTGCGCCACGTTCAGCGGTCTTGAGCGCGGTTTCGACATCGTCGTGATCACCTCTGGGAATGGTGTCAACAACAGAACCATCATAAGGATTCAGGACTTCAATTTTCTGCGGCTTGTCAACCCATTCGCCGCCGATGTGCATTCTCATTGATATTGACCTCCATTGATATTAATTGTAAATTATCAATTAAAAAATTTGTAAGTTCTCAGGTTCAAGATACCATCTCTCATCGAAATTGTCAATCGGAAATTTATTGTTCCGCCGGGTATTTTCACTTGACCCATCTGGCAGAGTTAAGGTAAAGTATAACATATTTTCGATCCGAATAACACATCTGACTTGAGGAAGCGTGTATGAAAAATCTGGGATGCAGTACAATTTTATATGGAGGGTTTCGTTTAGAACAGGCACTCGAAGGCATTGCGAAAGCCGGGTATAAGGCAATTGAACTTTGTGCTCGTCCCGGAATGGCACCCCATCTGGAAATTGGCAAAACGGCTTCATACTACGAGGAGATCAAAGCGCGAGTCGCTTCGCACGGTTTGGCAATAGAATCAGTCGCAGGGACCGGCGGGATTGGGATGGATAGTCCTGCATTTGATGCGGTGATAGAAGCGGCACAACAGGTTGGTGCCCCCGCAATCGCCGAAGGTGCAGGTGGGAAGTCCGATGATGAAGAGAGTTTCAAACAGGTGGTCGAGTTGGTTAACGTGACGGCTGCCCGCACTTCGCAGGCTGGCATTAAGCTAAGTCTGAAACCTCATGTCAACAATGCGGTATATTCAACCGAAACGGCGTTACGCTTTATGCGAGAGGTTGACCGTGAGTGGGTGGGGATTAATTTCGATGCGAGCCACATTTGGCGGACGGCAGCTGCCGAAGATCCGGTGGGATCGCTCCAGCAACTGAGAGATTACATTGCAATGCTGCGTATCCGTGACAACCGCGAGAGTCGTGAGGGACCGATAGGTCCTGTTGAGACACAAATCCCCGGCAAAGGCAGTATCGACCTTCCTGCGCTTGTTGCTGTCATGAACACAATTGATCATGTGCCTTATGTAACGTTGGAAATTGTTGGCACACATGGTGGGACGGATACGCCGCTTGCTGAAGTCCAACGGGTTGTGGAGGAGTCGATGACGTATCTGGAACCGTTGTTTGTGTAGAGGTTCATGCAGCAGATTCAGAGGGGGGTAAAATGGCTGAAGTCAAAACAGTTGTAACCTTAAAACACATTCAGGAAATTGTCTGGCAAATTGTGGAACACTTTCATCCGCAGAAGATCATCCTGTTTGGCTCCCACGCTTACGGCACGGCAACGGCGGATAGCGATGTGGATTTGTTGGTCATGATGGATACAGAAGAAAAGCCTCTCCATGTAGCAGCTCGAATTGCCGCAGCTATTGACCATCCCTTTCCTCTGGACATTATCGTATTCACGCCTTCCGACTGGCATACTTCTCTGAAACGCAAAGGGATCTTTGCCACAGAGGTCACGATGAAAGGGATGGTCTTGTATGAAAATCGAGACGCAGGAGTGGATTGATAAAGCTGAAGGCGATAGTATTCTATAGATATATCGCTCCTCCCCGATAAGATCGGGATTCGCTACGCTCAACTTGAGGCGATTTTGGACTTCTGTGGGAGTAAACCTTGTGATCTGAGACCTGCCTCTGTCTTGGGCAGGTACAAGACCTGCTCCTACATTTGATCAATCCTCCAAAATTGACAAACTCTGTAGGGGTTGGGTTTCCCAACCCGTCGGGCGAGGGAACCTCGCCCCTACAATTAGGCATTTATTGGCAAATGGCGGACACACCTCACATAAATGTCAACAGAACCTAGCAACTTGCGTTCTCATAAACCGCTCATCAAAAGCGGTTTCTATTTAACCCATTTCAGTCAACTCTTACGGAGGCATGACAATGCGTTTAAGTGACGAACAGATTCATCAATATCAAGAGACTGGTTTCCTCATAGTGCCGGGGCTTTTTGATACGGCAACGGCACAGCAGATGACTCAGCACTATATGGAACGACGTGCAGAGGGACCAAAATCAGGAGATAGTGGGGGTACAACAGACCACCCAGAAGATCCGAATCATCAGTATCCTCGAATGATTAACATGCACAATTGGGATGCGTTGACCGGTGAATGGGCAATGCAGGAGATGATGCTGGAACTTGTCGAACAGCTGATAGACGATAAGCCTGTACTTCGGCAGACGATGCTGTATTTTAAGCCGCCGGGAGGCAGAGGGCAGGCACTCCATCAGGATGAGCAGTACATCACCATTGAACCGTTGATTGGTGTCTGGGTGGCGTTGGACAAATCGGACAAATCTGTTGGGCAGATGGTAGTGGTCCCCGGTTCACATAAACGTGGACTTTTGCAGGTAGAGGCTGCGGATACAGCAATTTCGTTCACTAATGTACAATCGGTGATGCCGGAGGACGTTAAAGAGTTTTATGTTGATATGGAGCCGGGGGACGCACTGTTTTTCGATGGTAAAACGATCCACGGTTCTTACGTGAACGAAACGCACGATCGCTGGCGACGGAGTTTTATCTGTCACTATATCGGTGAACATGCGAAAGATTTTGAACCCCCACAGGGCAAGCATGTATCGCATTTAAGGCGCGATTCGTAAAAACCACGTTTTTTAGAATTTATAACTATTACCTCGGAGAAGATAAGTGAACGTACACGAATATCAAGCAAAACAGATTCTAGAAGCGCATGGAGTCAACGTTCAACGCGGTGAGGTAGCATCAACCGCCGATGAAGCTGAAGCGATTGCTCGCGAACTGGATTGTCCACTGTATATCGTCAAGGCGCAGATCCACGCGGGCGGACGGGGCAAAGGTGGTGGCGTTAAACTGGCGAAAAGCCTCGAAGAGGTTAAGCAACATGCTGAAGCGATTCTCGGTATGCAGCTGGTTACCCCTCAGACGGGACCTGAAGGAAAGCTAGTCCGCAAGGTATTGGTTGCTGAAGCTAGTGATATTGAGAGAGAGCTTTATCTCGGTATGGTAGTTGATCGCACTGACTCTCGGCTTGTCATAATGGGAAGCGAAGAAGGTGGTGTGGATATTGAAGAGGTCGCCGCGACTCGTCCCGAAAAGATTCTCAAGCAAACCATCGATCCAGCGATTGGCTTGCCTCCCTTTCAGGCGCGGAAACTCGCCTATGACTTGAATATCCCCCGCGAATTGGTCAACAAGGCTGCTGACCTGATGATCGGCTTATATAATGCCTTTGTCGATTCTGATTGCTCACTCGCCGAGATTAATCCACTCGCCATCACGAAAACCGGTGACGGGCAGGATATTGTTGCTCTCGATGCAAAACTCAACTTCGATGACAACGCGCTCTGGCAGCATGGGGCAATTAGCGCAATGCGAGATCCGCACGAAGAGGATGCCCGTGAACTTGAAGCGGGAGAATCGGGCTTGAGCTATATCAGTCTTGACGGAAATATTGGGTGCATGGTAAACGGAGCGGGGCTTGCGATGGCGACGATGGATCTCATCCAACTCCACGGCGGTGAACCCGCAAATTTCCTTGATGTCGGTGGGGGAGCGACGACAGAAACCGTTACCCACGCTTTCCGTCTCATCCTCGCAGACGAAAAAGTGCAGGCGGTCCTCGTCAACATCTTCGGCGGTATCATGCAGTGTGATGTGATTGCGAACGGGATTATTGAGGCAGTCGAGCAGGTGGATTTGACAGTTCCGTTGGTTGTGCGCTTGGAAGGGACGAATGTGGAGTTGGGGAAGCAGATTCTCGCCGATTCCGGTTTGAATCTGATCGCTGCTGATGGGCTTTCGGAGGCAGCGCAGAAAGCGGTGCAAGCGGTGGTACAGTGAACCCATCAGTTTTTGATGGGAGGATGTATGACAAATAAACTCGGACTACACGATTTGGATGTCAATGGCAAGCGGGTCTTAGTGCGCGTTGATTTTAATGTGCCGATGGATGGGAAGCAAATCGCCGATGATACACGTATCCGTGCGGCCCTTCCGACAATTTTAGAGCTTATCCGGGGCGGCGCAAAAATTATCTTGGTCACGCATCTCGGACGCCCCAAAGGCTTCGATCCTAATTTTTCCACAGAGCCGCTCGCGGTAGCAGTCAGCAAGCTGCTGGGCCAACGGGTCAAGTATATAGTTGATTGCATCGGGGTAGAGGTTGAAGGTATTGTTTCGGAACTCCGCGCGGGTGATGTCCTGCTACTCGAAAATATCCGCTTCTACGAAGAAGAGACGAAAAACGATTCGGAATTTGCCCAAACACTTGCATCCCTTGCAGATCTTTATATCAACGATGCTTTTGGTGCAGCACACCGTGCCCATGCTTCAACCGAAGGGGTAACGCACTATTTCGATCAGTGTGCCGCAGGATTGCTGATGGAACAGGAAATTGAGCACCTCAACAAAATGCTTCACGATCCGGAGCGTCCTTTTGTTGCGATTCTTGGTGGTGCAAAGATTTCGGACAAAATTGGCGTGATTGAGAACTTGCTCGACAAGGTGGATCAACTCATCATTGGCGGCGGCATGGCATATACGTTCCTCAAAGCAAAAGGGTTGTCAGTTGGGGATTCAATTGTGGAGGTTGATAAACTTGATTTAGCCAATGGACTGTTCCAGAAAGCGTCGGATCAGCATCTGACCATCCACCTCCCACACGATCATGTTATTGGTAAGGAGCTTGATCCGAACACCGAATCTCAAGTCCTCTCCAGTCAAGAGATCCCCGATGGTTGGAGCGGCTTCGATATTGGTATTGAAACTGTTGCAAAATTTGCTGAAATTGTGGATACGGCGAAAACAATCATCTGGAACGGTCCGCTGGGTGTGTATGAGTTTGAACGGTTTGCGAAAGGCACGCTTGAGATTGCGAGACGGGTTGCCGAATCGGAAGCGGTCACCATCATCGGTGGCGGTGACTGTGTTGCTGCGGTGCATCAGGCGGGTGTCGCAGATCGGATAACACATATCTCCACCGGTGGAGGTGCGTCGCTGGAATTTCTTGAAGGAAAACAGTTGCCCGGGATTGAAGCATTGACAGACAGGGGTGAAAAGTAAAATGAACAAACGGCGAAACCACTTAATTCTTATTGGATGCATAGGCATAGTTTTGTCGTGTCTGTTGGGATGTTTCGATATTAATTTTGTAAGAAATATTATCGATGATGCCTTAGAAACCACTGAGGATCCAGACGTTTCAAGTGTTGCATCCGCTAACACAAGATTTGGATTCAAGCTGCTTCAAGATCTCCGGGAACGAGAACCCGGGGGAAATATCTTCATCTCTCCGTTAAGTATTTCAATTGCACTGACCATGACTTATAACGGCGCAGTTGGAGAAACAGAACGCGCTATGGCGGAAGTGCTAGAGATAGATGAGTTAGACCTCTCAACGATTAACCAATCCAACAAAGCATTACGAGACAGTCTTGAGAACCCTGATCCCAAAGTTGAAATCTCGATTGCAAATTCGATTTGGTCCCGTCAGGGTGTTGAATTCAACTCCGAATTTTTAGAGCGAAATCGGGCGTTTTTTGGGGCGGAGATTGCCTCGCTCGATTTTAGTGATCCGCAAGCGACGGAAATCATCAACGAATGGGTTGATACAAACACGAATGGCAAGATTGAGAAAATCGTTGAAAGGATTAACCCGCAAACACTGCTTTTCTTGATTAACGCCATCTATTTTAAGGGTAACTGGCAGGATGAGTTCGATAAATCAATGACGCGGCCGGGCACTTTTCATCTACCAAATGGAACCGAGAAACGGGTAGAGATGATGCGTCGAGAGGGGGAGTATCCATACTTCCGCGGTGAGAATTTTGAAGCAACAAGCCTGCCGTATGGCGATGGGCGAATGAGTATGTATATTTTCCTGCCTAATCACAATTCCAATCTCAACAAATTTTTGAGAGATCTAAACGCCGAAAACTGGGAGGATTGGATATCGGAGTTTCAGGAAAGACGGCACGATATGATAGTTCCCCGTTTCAAATTGGAATATGAAGTCAGTCTCAACGACACACTCGAAGCACTAGGGATGGGAATTGCTTTTGGTGGCGGTGCCGATTTTAGCGGTATGGGACCAAGCCTTTTTATTAGTGAGGTGAGGCATAAAACCTTCGTGGAAGTAAACGAAGAGGGAACGGAGGCGGCTGCTGTCACTGCTGTCGTGGGAGTTAAGTCTATACCATCGGTCTTCCGTGTAGATCGTCCCTTCTTTTTCGCCATTTATGACGCTGAGACGGAGACCATATTGTTCATGGGAACCATCACAGAGCCGATGTAGTTAGCAGGCACCTCAATCCACAAGGCAAGGAAAAAATATAGCGATCAAAGGCAAAATAATACCTCGCAGTTACCCAGGATCGAAGTCTTGACAGACAAGGGTGGTTAATAAAGTCCTGTTTTTACATACGTTCTAAAATTTGGTAACAACAAGGAGACTAAAATGAGAACCGATTGGAAATGTTTAGTTCTTATCAGATGCGGGTGCCTGCTGGTACTACTGTGTCTATTGGGATTTCCCGACAGTGGTTCTACAAATACTATCATTGACGACGTATTGGATCCCATTGATGATCCGGATGTTTCAAGTGTTGCTTCGGCTAACACAAGATTTGGGTTCAAGCTGCTTCAAGATCTCCGAGAACGAGATCCCGGAGGGAATATCTTTATCTCTCCGTTAAGTATTTCTATCGCGCTGACCATGACCTATAACGGTGCTGTTGGGGAAACGGAACGCGCTATGGCGGAAGTGCTAGAGATAGATGGGTTAGACCTATCAACAATTAACCAATCCAATAAAGCATTACGAGACAGTCTTGAAGACCCTGATCCAAAAGTTGAAATCTCGATTGCAAATTCGATTTGGTCCCGTCAGGGTGTTGACTTCAACGCCAATTTTTTGGAGCGAAATCAGGCGTTTTTTGGAGCGGAGATTGCCGCGCTTGATTTTAGCTCACCGCAAGCGATAGCAACTATCAACGACTGGGTTGACACAAACACAAATGGCAAGATAAAAAAAATTGTTGGCAGGATTGACCCTCAAAAACTGCTCTTTTTGATTAACGCCATCTATTTCAAGGGTAACTGGCAGGAGGAGTTCAATAGGTCAAGGACACGAGCGGACGTTTTTCATCTGTTAGATGGAAGTGAGCAGCAAGTACAAATGATGCATCAAGAGGGAGTTTACCCATATCTCCGCGGTAAAAACTTTGAAGCAACGAGTTTACCGTATGGTGATGGGCGGGTGGGCATGTATATCTTCCTGCCTAACCGCGATTCCAACCTCAATGAATTTTTGGAAGGTCTGAATGCAGAAAATTGGGAGCAGTGGATATCGCAGTTTGGGAACAGAGGGCACGATATGATGCTTCCTCGTTTCAAACTGGAATATGAAGTGACACTTAACGACACGCTTAAAGCGTTAGGGATGGACATTGCTTTTAGTAGCGGTGCCAATTTTAGTGGCATGGGTCCACCAGACCTTTTTATCAGTGAGGTAAAACATAAAACCTTCGTGGAAGTAAACGAAGAGGGAACAGAGGCAGTCGCTGCCACTGCCGTCATAATGGCAGTCTCTGAACCACCAGTTTTCCGGGTAGATCGTCCCTTCTTTTTTGCCATTTATGACGCTGAAACGGAGACGATACTGTTCATGGGAACTGTCACGGAACCGATGTAGCTAGTAGGTCATTTAATCATACACCCATGAGAGGGAAATATGGCGACTGAGCCTTTGCCAAGACTTGATTCCGATACCGAAATTCGGCAGAAGCTATTGACCTATTGTAGGCTCAAGCCCGGAGAGGTTTGGGAAGATCCTGTGCAAGGGCATAGGGTTGGGGTGTTGGATGCAACCTGTCCTGATGCGGTATCGGAAATAATGGGACGCAAAAGGGCAAAAGTAGCAGTGAACGATCCGCCTTATAATGTGAGTGTCGGAAATAAAACGACCCAAAATCTGAGTAAGCTAAATTTAGATGAATATATGGAGTTTTCTAGGAATTGGGTGGCAAGCACGATTGATATATTAGATGAAGATTCTCATTTCTACGCATGGTTGGGTGCAGATCAGAGAGATAATTTCAACCTTTGCCCGATTTCATGCTCATGATGAGGGAATTTGAGGACTTTAGAGGCGAGAAGTTTCATTACGATGCGGAATCAGAGAGGGTACGGCACTCAGAAGAATTGGATGGCGGTGAGACAGGAGTTGCTCTACTATACGAAGGGGAATCCCGAGTTCACCGTTGTTTATACCGATATACCTAAAATTTTGCGCGGCTATTATAAAACGATAGATGGGAAACGAGTGGAGAACTTGGAACGGAGTCGATCTGATACTATCAGACCCGGCAATGTGTGGGTTGACATCCAACAAGTCTTTTATCGGATGGAAGAGAACGTACCCGGTGCTTATGCCCAAAAGCCACTGAAGGCAGTTGAACGAATCATCGCAGCTTGCAGCCGTGAAGGAGATTTGGTTGTGGACTTCTTTTCGCACTCAGGGACGACGTTAATCGCCTGCGAAAGATTGGGGCGAGTGTGCTATACATCTGACATGTTGATCCGATATTCGCTGAAATTGCAATTCGGAGGTTAGAGCATTTTCGTGAGACGCGCAGAACCGGTTTTCAATTTCAGAGTCCTTTCAGGGAACTAGAAGCCTCAAAAGTCTACACAGAAAAAATATGAGAGAGGGGTAGCCTCAGCAGTCTGTGTCAAATAGGGAATGATATTCTACAAATTAAAGAGGAGCGAATATAGAAATGAGAGACAAAATCACACCTCGCAGTGAGGACTATTCAGAGTGGTACACCGAAGTGATTCGAGGGGCGGAATTGGCGGATTACGCCCCGGTGCGTGGATGTATGGTCATTCGGCCCTACGGCTACGAACTTTGGGAGAATGTAAAGGCGGGGTTGGATCGCCGCTTCAAGGAAACGGGACACGAAAACGCCTATTTTCCCGCTCTTTGTACCGATGAGTTTCATCGAGAAGGAAGCGCAGCATGTTGAAGGTTTCGCACCAGAATTAGCGGTTGTCACACACGGCGGGGGCAAAAAATTAGAAGATCCATTGGTAGTGCGCCCCACCTCAGAAACGGTCATCGGATATATGTACAGTCAGTGGATTCAGTCCTATCGGGATCTACCGGTGCTGATTAACCAATGGGCAAATGTTGTGCGTTGGGAATTACGCACCCGCTTATTTCTCCGCACGATGGAGTTTCTCTGGCAGGAGGGACACACCGCCCATGCCACTGCGGAGGAAGCACAGGAAGAAACGCTGCAAATGCTGGATGTGTACACTGACTTCGCTGTGAACGATGCCGCCATCCCGGTTATTCCCGGCCGTAAGAGCGATAGTGAGAAGTTTCCCGGCGCGGACGCTTCCTACAGTATTGAAGCCATGATGGGAGATCGCCGGGCGTTACAGTCAGGAACCTCGCACAATCTCGGACAGAACTTCGCCAAAGCCTTTGACATTCAGTATCAGGATGCGAATGGGACGCAGCAATACTGCTGGACGACCAGTTGGGGTGTGAGCACACGAATGGTTGGCGCGATTATCATGGCGCACGGCGACGACCAAGGGTTGGTCTTGCCGCCACGTCTGGCACCAACTCAGGTGGTGATTGTGCCGATCTATCGAAAGGACGCTGAACGGAGCACAGTCATGGAAGCGATCGAAAAGATCGAAGCCATGCTAGGGCAGGACGTACGGCTGAAGGTCGATCAGCGCGACGAATACTCTCCCGGCTGGAAGTTCAACGAATGGGAGTTGAAGGGCGTGCCGTTACGGATAGAGATTGGGCCCAGAGATATTGCAAAAGATCAGGTAGTGCTTGCCCGCCGGGACGTGCCGGGACGAGATGGCAAATCGTTCGTTCCATTGGCGGGATTAGCTGATATCGTCTCCGATACACTCAGGGACATCCAGAATAATCTGCTGGCTCGTGCGACCGAATTCCGTGATGCCAATACATCAGAGCCCGTCCGACTACGATTCGTTTAGGGAAGCGGCGACGCAAGGGTTCGCCCGCGCTTGGTGGTGCGGAGATGTTGCGTGCGAAGATAAAGTCAAAGACGACATCAAAGCCACGACGCGCTGCATCCCTTTGGATCAGCCCGGCGGGGGTGGGACTTGTATTGTGTGCGGCAAACCGGCAGAGGAGATCACTATTTTTGCGCGGGCGTATTGAAATCGTGTGCTTAGATATCCTCTAGTATGAAAGGTTGTTATGCACCGACCAGTATCCCTAAGCGTTTTCCTCGCCTGTGTCTCCTTTGCCCTTTGGCTGCTAGGGTGTTGGGAAACATCAGCCAGCGAACCGAGGACAACGACATCGGAAGCGGCTGCCATGGAAGGTAGCGGCGAGGCACTTCATCTTTACACTGCCCTCGACACCAATGAAGCAAAGATTTATATCCGCGCCTTTGAGGAAGAGAGTGGTATTCAGGTGCGATGGGTTCGTTTGTCTGCCGGGGAGGTGTTGGTGCGAATCAGAAGCGAGCGAGCTAATCCACAGGTCGCGCTCTGGTTTGGGGGACCATCGCCAGAGTTTATTGTTGCTAAACGCGAAGGGTTACTCGCTCCTTATGCACCGCGTATTGATTTTGAACCGCTCCCCGGCACATTCGACGAAGCGCACTGCTGGACCGGCTTCTACTTCGGCGCAATCGGTTTTGCGTCTAACACAGAGATTTTAGAACGCAAAGGGATTCCACCACCCACCTCGTGGTACGACCTACTAAAACCCGAACTCAAAGGAGAGATCAGCGTGGCTTATGCCTATACATCGGGCACTGCCAACACATTGCTGGCTGCAATTGTGCAGATGATGGGTGAGGATGCTGGTTTCGATTATATTGCGAGGTTAAATCGAAATGTCCACCACTATAATAGGTCTGGGTCGGCGTGCGTGACGCAGGTGGGTTTCGGCGAAGTTGCGGTGGGGATTGCTTTTTCGCACGATATTGTCAAGAAAGGACCTGCGAAAGGGTATCCGGTTGTGTTGAGTTTTCCGAAGGAGGGGACAGGATTTGAGATCGGTGCGATGGCACTTGTCAAAGGGGGACCCAATCAAGTCGCTGCAAAGCGATTTATGGATTGGGCCCTCTCAGTTCGAGCACAGAACCTGATGCAGAAGTGGTTTCGGACTCCTTTGAATCCAAAAGCCGAAGTTGCCAAAGGGGCAATCACCGCTGATAACGTGAAACTGATTGAATTTGATTCTAGCTGGGCGGCAACCCACCGGCAGAGATTGGTTGAACAGTGGCGCGAAGCTACAGCGCAATGACATCTCGTCTGAAGGATTGAACCGCCAAGACCAACAAATAGAATAGGGGGTTCTAAAAACGGGTAAAGCAGCTAAAACAGCACAACGATGGCGGGTTATTTTACGACTTGCTGCGGAAGAAGACAGACCTCCATAAATTTAATTTTAGGGGTATCAGGACAATGACAGTCGGAACGAACATCAAGATAATCATCGGTATCATTGTTATTCTTGCCCTCGGATTCACTGTCGAATTCATTGCGTTTGAAGTGTTAACAGTCCAATCACCTGACATTAAGGGGGAAGAACAGATCGTCAAGCTATACGCTCGACAAATCACTACCCCCCGTTTTGTTGAACGCACACCCAGGATAGTAACAAAAACCCAACACGAAGAAACAATTATTGAGGTCCTCTGAAATAAGGGTGTCCCCTGTTCCAGAGAGGGTGCCTACTGCTCAGAGCAGCGATGATGAAATTAAAGGTTTTTCTGCTTGGCTTTCGTTATCGCTTGAGCGGGAGGACACTGTTGAAGAAACAGAACAAGAGGATTTTAATACAGCAGATGATAGGGAGGACGATCAAACTGATTACGATCGGGAGAGATCACGGATAGAATCCGTTATTTGGGAGCAATGGAAAGATGGGCTTGAAAGTTACAGTATTGAACGATATATGTCCGCGATATGGGAAGACGATTTTTTCTATATCAGTGACCTTGGCACACCCGATAATCCTGATGATGATATAGTATTTCGGGGCGGCTATGAGGAACGCGAGGGGGCATCAAACGAATGTTCAATGCAAGGAGAGCATTGATTTGAATCTCTCTCAACATGGAGATATCGAGTTTTTGAATGAGACGCTTGCTATGGTTGACTTGGATTACGAAATGACATTCGTTCAACGTGACTCGGGAGAATCATCCTACCCGTCAGGGCGCATGATTTTCATTCTGGAACTTCCGAGAAGATGAATGGCGCATTCTTGAATGGTACGACAAAGCAACACCGCACTGAGAACCTGTTTTAAGAAGCAAGAAATTATCCCAAAGTGCTGTGGATTTGCCAATCCACAGCGAGTGGCATCACGAGATAGAGGTTGAGTCTCCCAACCCGTTGGGCGAGGGGACCTCGCCCCTACGAAACCAAGCCCCCGATAAATCGGGCTGCAAGCTGAAAACTCTCGGAACGGAGCACCTACCACTGACCTGACACGGTTTGCTAAATATAGTGAGAATGTGCCGTTGAATAGTGGATTACGGAAGAACCCGAGTTTTGAAGTCCGAGAGGATCCCGTGACCGGGGAAAAACTCGGGTTCATGGCAAACGGCTTTACCCAAAATGACTTTTCAAACAGGCTCTAAGGGCACTTGGTAAGGAGGTGACTTATGTCCTTTACAAGAGCGCAGGGCACAGTCTGAGAAAAGTATCTCATAGAAAAGATCGCTGGGAGCGGACGTTGGGTTGGTTCCGCAAGTATCTTATCAAGTCAAATTGACATCTCTTTTCTACGTAAAGAGGTCTGCCACACGGCAACGAAACCCCTTAACCGCTGGTTCGCCGGTTAAAAGTGTCGTCAATTGTCAAGAGACTGATGTCCGTGGATGAACGGTAGACGGTCACCGTTTGAGAGAAGGGTTCAATCGCCCAAACGAGTTGTGTGCCGGCATCAAGATACTCGAAAGCTTTTTCGTGCACAGCCTGCATGGCATCCGTTTCTGACACAATTTCAATGGCTAAATCAGGGGGAATCGGGAAATTCTGCCATAGGTTGTCGGGGATGTGTTCCGAGGCAACAAATGCAACGTCCGGTTTCCTAGCTCTATCTCCCACTGTGAATACCGTTTCTGCTGTATATAATTTCCCCAACTGATGCTCCTTTACATAATTGCCCAATAAAATCAATATCTCTGCTGCGACATCTCCATGAATAATCTTGGCTGCTGCCATCGGAATTAATTTCCCTTCCACGAATTCGTAGGATTCATAATCTCCTTCCAGAAATTCTGCCAGTGTTGATGGGTGCTCAATAGCTTGGGTTTCCATGATGTCTCCTTCATTAAATGAGGGTGTTCCTGAACAAAATAGCCTCTTAAATTTATCGACGATAACCCGCTAATTCCTCCAAACGGCGGATACGTTCTTCCATTGGTGGATGGGTGCTGAAAAGACCCGCTATCCCACCACGCAAGGGATTAACAATGAAGAGATGTGAAGTGGCTGCATTCGCTCGCATCGGATGTATTTCAACACCACGTTCAAGCCGGCGAAGCGCATTTTGCCAATGCTATTGGATCGCCACAGATTTCCGCTCCACCGCGGTCTGCCGCGTATTCACGGGAACGGGAGATCGCGAACTGAATAATCATTGCAGCAATTGGGGCAACGATAATCAGGAACAACATACCGATGATTCCACCGCCATCTTCGTCGTCATCTCCACCAAAACCGCCAAATAACGCCGCCCATTGCGCCATGTTCGCAATCATCATGATTGCGCCCGCGATTGTGGCAACGATGCTGCTTATCAGAATATCACGGTACTTGATGTGTGCTAGCTCATGTCCAATGACACCTGCCAATTCATCGCGCGATAAAAGTCGCATAATCCCATCCGTTGCGGCAACTGCTGCATGGCGTGGATTTCTGCCGGTAGCAAACGCATTCGGCATATCGGTTGGAATTGTGTAGACCTGCGGCATCGGCAGACCTGATTTTTCGGTCTGTTGTTTGACGATCTGGTATAACTCGCTGTTCGGACTAGCTTCCTGCGCTCTGTACATTGACAGGACGATTTTATCGCTGAACCAGTAGGAACCGAAGTTCATAATCGCTGCCAAGATCAGGGCAATTGCCATTCCTACTTCGCCCCCTAATATGTTGCCAATGAACATTAGCAGAGCTGTCAACGCAATCAAGAGTATTCCAGTTTTGAAGATGTTCATTTTGAGTAACCTCCTTAGATCAATTTAACTGTGTATTAGGTATAATGGGCAGCCTACCCACGTTGTTTGTTAAAACTAATTAATTTAACGGCGAAATAATCTTAGGACTTACGCAGTTGAACGTTCAAAGCCCTGTGCTGCGTTGAACCGCACCCCCTCTAACTCCCCCGCAAGCAGGGGAGAACCCACAGTTCGGCGATTCATCTCGATGCCCGATGAATCGGGCAACTACAATCTGAAGTGCGTAACTCCTAAATCTTCTACATTCCGCAATTTTTTACTTAAACACACCAAAATTCAGATTCTGTTTATGAAATATGGACTATCATTGTTAGACGTGCAATTGGTTTTTTAAGTGTAGATATTCTTTTTAAATTTGCTTCGGTCCCTATGGAACAAAAGAAACGATGGAAGATCTGAAGTTGAATGGTATGTTTGCACAACAAATAGTTTTGTCCATCACCATCACCCCGGAGGATTGCAAAGAATTTCATTAAGAATTCTTTGCAATCCGATAAAGCGTTATGATAACATAGTGCGCTTTTCGATATGACTGATTTTTCCTAACGGATATGTCTAACCACAATTAGGGAGATTAGGATGAAAGAAATCAGGATTCGTAATCCGCAGGCAGAAGCAAAAGCATTGCTTGAAATGGATACTAAGCAAGCCTCCCTCCAATTCCAACAGTATACGACGGAGGAGCAGCTGGCAATCATTGAGACGGTTTCGGATGCGAAAGGCCGCGAGGAACTGTATTACCTCGTTCCTGATTGCACGGAACTGGTTCAACGGAGTCCAACTGAGAATGTAATGCAGATGGCACTTGTCCATCTTGGAACAGGGCAATCTGCTGGCATTCTATCCGCAGCGTCTACCGAGCAGCTTGCAGATATTGTCGACCTGATTGCCTACCAGACTGACAAGTTAGATAATGCGCGATTTGCAGAATGGCTGATGGAGATGTTACACGCGGGAGATGAGGTCTTTGAAAACATGTTGCGCTCCATTGACCCACAACTGCTCGGCGAATTTTTCTGGGATCGGCTAGAACTTGTAAGCGTGAAATCTAATGTAAATCCCTTATCCCGCGTTTCTAGTAGAGGAAGCCCTTGTTAGTCCAGAAGATTTAAGTTGCGATACTGAGGATACCCATCTGCTGATTGAAATGCTCTACGCCGCGGATGGCAATCTGTTCCAATCCCTGATGGAGTATATATTCCTCGAAGACTCAACCGCAATAGATGGTTACGCTAGGGAAATCAAAGCGCGGGCGACGCGAGAAGCAGCCAAAGCCCGAATCGAGGAACGGGATCGAGAAAAAGGTGTAACTGAAGAAGATTTAGAAAAGTTGATAGATCTCGACAACAGTCAGCTAGACGGAGATCAATCGTCCAAGAGGTCTGCCAAAAATGGTCTTACTGAAGACGATTTGGAAAAGTTAGTTGACCTTGATAACCCACAGTTAGATGATTGACATACTCCCACACCCTAAAGGGTGGGGATTCTCACCCGCTCCCTTTAAGGAGTCGAATTGCTCTATCAACGAGGATTGCCCGGCGAACCGGGACTTACGGCCTCTCCTGAGAGGGTGGATGCCCCCACCCTATGGATATTGACCGCCGCATTCCGATCTCTATCCAACTCTGTGTGGCAGTTTGGACACTGCCATGTTCTATCACGAAGGTTTAGCTCTGGGTTGATTGCGCCACAGACATGGCAGGTCTTACTCGAAGGATACCACTTGTCTATGAATCGGATTTCCGTGCTTTTCTTGGAAGCGATATACTTGAGTTTCTGCACAAAGTCAGAAAAACCTAAGTCAGAGACTTTGCGACCCCAAAGGGACTTCATGCCTTTGAGGTTCAGAGATTCAAGGGCAATCCAATCATATCTGTCTGTGAGGTCATGAGCAAGTTTCCAGTGGAAATCTTGCCTTTGGTTCGCAATCTTGCGATGTTTCTTTGCAAGGTTGACTCTTGCACGTTGCCGATTCTTTGACCTTGCAACCTTTCGTGAATGGTTGCGGTTCGCACGTTTGATAGTGTTGAGACCGCGCTTGAAGAATTGTGGAGAGTCGTAGTCATTGAAGTCAGACCCGGTGAGATACCTCTTTAGTCCAAAGTCAAACCCCGCGTTATTACCCGTCGTGGGTGACTCTAAATCGGTATCTACATGGTCTGTCAGAATGATTAGCCATACCTCTCCTACGCTGTCACGCTTAATCGTGCAGCGTTTCGGGGTGCCTAAGACTTCCCGACTTTTGAAATATCGGTAGATGCGTTTGCCGATACGGATATAGTTGTTTTGTAGCAGTTTCCAACCGGCTTGCTTGAGTGTGTAGGACTTGTATAGTTTACGTCTCTTGAAACGGGGACGACCTGAACGCTTGCCGCTTGTGCGGTCAGTAAACAGTTTAGAGTACGCTTTATCAAGTCGGTCTATTACGTCTTGCAACGATTGACTCGGCAACTGATTCCAATGTGCAAAGCGGGGGAGCCGCTTCAACTTGGTTAAGTGTCGCATCAGTGCTTTCTTACCCGGATACTTACCGTAGATAGCATGGTATCGGCGACACAACGCCACAAAGTGATTCCATACTTCAGCATGGCTGTCAATCGTTTGCTGCAACTCACCATTAGTGTGGTTGCTATACATTTTGAACTTGTAGGTTTTCATAGGGACTCGGCTGCTGCTGGCTTTCATGTCCACGCAATTGGAGGTGAGAGGCTCCACTAAGCAGTGGAGTTGCGCCCTCTCACGAAAACCAAGATAACTGTAACATCTTTTACCTGCAATTTCAACCGTTTTTTGACTAACAACGCACTTTGGCGCGCTACATCCCCACCCTAAAGGGAGGGGGCATTGCACGCAAGATTGGTAAACGAATAGGCAAACTACGCTACGCATCACGGAATACCATCAATGGTAAATACAAACTCCCTTATCGAATATGACCCACGATTGTTCCTGTCCAGAGCATTATCTGAACTTGAGGAATTGGAGAATGTCCCAACTGAGCGGATTGACGAAATCAATCGCCAGATCGTTGCAATTATGAACAAACGTTCAGTTATGGAGCCGGTTGACATCTCTAAGCTGTCCGAACTGCGAACGGTCGCAAGGGATGTTGTCCTCCGACTTAATCTTGGGCTTGAGCATGGGAGTAAGCTCGACCTTATTCGAGCGAAACACCTGCTGGTCCATAACGACATGATCCGCTTTTATCAGATCGGTAACACATTGATGACCAAGTTGAAACATGATGCCGAAGCCCTCCGACAGCGTGCGCGATTGACCATCGCTGAGTCAGGAATGGTGCAGATTGGGGGGCATCCTGAAGCAGTGATGGAAATGCCACTATTAAGCCAAATTGAGGAAGATTTTCTGTCGGGACTGACAGATGAGACCCTGATTATAGGTGAAGTTGTTGTGGTCATCAAATTGAAGGATGAAAGGGGCCAGCCGATTGAACAGCTAGGTCAGGTTGAAATTGCCGATGGGATGCTGAAAAATATAGGCTTACGGTTGGATTATCTCGAAACGCTTCCTCTTTACCTTATAGCAAAGGAGAAGGATTTTCGATATGCAGAGGGTATGGAATCGTCAGAAGATCTGGCTGGGAAGATTACGTGCGGAATGATAGTAAATCTGGCAATCGATAGCGGAAGGTATTTCTGTGTAACCGTTGATAAGGTTCGCAGATTCCGCGAAGAGTGTGTCACAGCAGCTGAGATTTCCGAAGTAGTAGAGGAGAAACTCCTTGCGTGGTTGCTCGAATATTTGGAAACTCATCAGGCAACGGAAACGGTAATCGATTATGCTTACGATTACTGGATGTATTGGCTGAATCAGTTAGGTGGGCATTTACAAGCACCGATAGCGGACTGCAATACACTATACAATTGGTTCATTCTTTGACAGAAAAGGTATAGCCAATCTATCCGCTTGGTGAGTGCATCTCACCCTATTGTGCACAGAACGTGAAACGTGAGTGGGGATTCTTCACGTTTCACGTTATTGGTTCATTAAGCGGTAACGTTGCATGTATCAAAAGCGGCTTGCATTGCAGCGAGCGGATCGCCTTTCGGCACAAATTCGTGTCCGACGTAAAGATCGTAGTCTGTCTCGGCGATTGCGCGCATGACAGGCGGATAGTAGATTTCCTGCTCATCGTCGAGGTCTTTGCGACCCCGGATTCCCCGCCGTGTGGAAATGCCCGATGTAATCAATGCTTTCCTGAATCGTCCGGACGAGGTCTCCTTCCATAATCTGCATGTGGTAGATGTCGTAAAGTAGCTGGACACGCGGCGAGTTGACGCCTTTGCAGACCTCTACACCCCACGGCGTACGATCGCACTGATAATCGGGATGGTTTACTTTGCTGTTGAGCAGTTCAATGCAAAGGTTGACACCCTTATCTTCGGCTGCCTTGGCAACGCGCAAGAGTCCTTCGATGGTATTATCCCGCCCCTCCTCGTCTGATTTCCCTTCTCGGTTTCCCGAAAAACAGATGAGACCGGGGATGTCATTCGCGGCAGCAACCTCAATATTTTCCAGAATCTCCTGCTCAATGCGGTCGTGATTTTCACGTTTGTTGAGGCCATCGGGTAGGGACCGATGCCCAACAATGATCGCAACGCGCATCCCATTTTCGCGCACGAGGGACCAATATTCTTGAGGTGCCATTTCTACGGATTTGTAACCAATTCTTGCTGCCTCTTGGATGACCTGTTCGGGGGAGGCGTCGTCACGCGTAAAGCAGCCATAACAGATTGATTGATTAATTGAACCCATTCTTTTCTCCTTTTGTGTTCCTAACCATAGTCAAGAACAGATCTGAGGGGTCTTTGAAGAGCCTATGCTAACAAGCACCCTCTTATAGATCTACCGCTTTACCTGTTTCAAATGATGTGCTCGCTGCCATCATAATCCGGAGCGTCTTCAACGCATCGATGTAGGGTGAAAGGATCTCCGATGAATCGCCAGTTTTCACCGCATCGATAAACACCCGGTCTCGATCTTGACCATCGCTTTCGGGCAGTGATTCTTCCTCACCTTTCCTATTAATGGTGTTAGATCCGCCGACAGTGACCACCAAACCACGACAGAAGACCTCAAGATGTACCCGGTTCCAACCTTCCATCGCACAACACGACACGATATTGGCAACTGCGCCGCTCTCGAATTCAATATTGACCATGCTGAGGTCATCGACATCGTACTGCGGAATATCTGTCATACTTCCACGGGTCGCGACGCCGTGTACCGTTTTGGCATCTCCGAGTAGGAAACGCGCCAGATCGAAAATATGCGTTGTTTGTTCGACATGCTGCCCGCCGGACTGGGCGCGGATTCGCCACCAGAGCGTACCGGGCAGTCCGCCCATCCAGTATCCCAATGCGCCGAGAACTGGTGATTCCTTTTCGAGTGTCGCCTTCGCATGTTGCGCATTGCCACCATAACGCCAATGGTATCCAACACTGGTAATCACACCGCTCCGCCGGACATCCTCATTGATGATGACTGCCTGCTCTAGGTCTGCAGCGATCGGCTTCTCGATGAACATCGGAATGCCTTGTTCACACGCAATTCGTTCCTGCTCGCCGTGTGCAAAGGGGGGTGTGCAGATATAAACGGCATCAAGGGATTCCTTGTCGTACATCTGGCGGAAGTCTGTGTAGACATTGCCCCCAAATTCCTCGGCAGACCCTTTTGCGCGTTCTTCCGAAACATCACACATGGCGGTAAATTCTATATCATCGAAGGTTTGCAGGTTCCTCATGTGAGCTCCTGCCATACCACCTGTTCCAATAAAACCGAGTTTTACTTTCATAGTTTCTCCTCAAAGAAAGGAATCTGTGACAGACAAATTTCTGGTTCATATAAAAAAGCACACGGTACGGAAGTTTGCCTCTTGTTTCCAACAGTTTATCAAAAAACGCTCGTTGTATCAACCAGAAATTTCTGATTTTAACCCAAGGTACTAGATAGTCCGTAGATCGAGCTTCCATACTCGACAACTACTAGAACTGGGCAAATTTACTGAGATTACCTATTAGGATTGCTATGCTACAATCAGCAATTTGCTCGACTGACCGTGCATCAACCCAATGCGACACACATGTCGCCCCGCCCCGATAAGATCGGGATTCAAAGCAACTGGGGCTTTAGGACTTGGAAATTCGGGATTGCTATACACATATCGCCCCGCTGGGGCTAAAAAACGCCAGATGTTCTCGGACTATATACATAGCACTCCTCTGGAGCGCATGGACTAGGCGCATCAGCATACTATAGACATATCGCTCCTTTGGAGCGAAAGGTTGAATAAATCAACTATAACGACCAGCCAATGGATTTTCAACGACTAGCAACTTACGTTACTATAACCCAAGTTGCTACCTGTCGCTCCGTTGGGGCTTTGGGTCGGGCAAGTCCGAGAGGATTCCGTGACTGGGGATGCCCGATCTACAGAGGCCATATAGGTTACGGCATACAGAGTATGCCTACTACTAGGTTCTGTTGGCATTTATGTAAGGTGTGACCATAATTTGCCATCGTAGGGGCGAGGTTACCTCGCCCGACGGGTTGGGAAACCCAACCCCTACAAGTTGGCGTTCAGCGTATAAGTTGTTTTTAGTTGGGAGTGGGCTTTCACGGTTCCCGTTCAACCCAACTCCGTTCCGAGAGTCTTCGACCTACGTGCTGTCAAATGTCAACATGCCCTAGCAACTTGGGTTATTAATAAAAAAGGGCAACCGTAAGAGGTTGCCCTTTTTTATTCGACTGGAAATGAAGAAATCCAATTCCTCTTAGCCCATCAGTTTTCCGAGGGAGACTCTGGATAGTTCGTATAAGGGGTTCCAATAGATACCGAGCAGGAGGGTCGGAACGACAAAAACAAGGAGTAGGACAAGACTGCCAGGTGAGAAAGAGAGGGATTCCGTGTCATCGGACGTTTCAAGGAACATTGCCTTGACGATTCGCACATAGTAGTAAAGCGCGACGACACTGTTGAGCAAGCCGATAATTGCTAGCCAGTAGAGTTTTTCCTTGATGACGGCGGCAAACAGAATCCATTTTCCTGCGAAGCCCGCAAGGGGCGGCAGCCCGGTCAAAGAAAAGAGGAAGATCGCCATTGACACTGCGATGAGTGGTGCACGGGAACCTAGCCCACGGTAGCCGTCAATCGTTTCACTGCCGACCTCATTTGCAATAAGGATAACGACAAAGAATGCTCCCAAGTTCATAAACAGATAGATAACCAAGTAGATGAGAATCGCTTGAAGCCCTTCGCTCGTCAGCAACACCCCACCCATGAGCAGGAAGCCACCATGCGAAATACTTGAGTAGGCGAGAAGTCGCTTCACATTTTGCTGCGGAAGCGCGGCAAGATTACCGACGGTCATCGTTAAGGCGGAGACGACTGCCAACATAAGGGACCAATCAATAGAAGCATCTGCCGATTTGAAACCTGAATAGAACAGGCGAATGAACATGGCGAACCCAGCCGATTTGGATGCGACAGATAGAAACGCTGTGATTGGGATTGGGGCACCTTCGTAGACATCAGGAGACCACATGTGGAAGGGTACGGAGGCGATCTTGTAGCCGACACCTGCGAGGATAAATGTGATCGACAACAGGACAGCCAGCGGATAGACATCGCCTTGGCTGAACATCTCCCCTAATCGGCTGCTAATTAGCATAATATCCCCTGTACCGGTCATGCCGAACAGGAGAGAGATACCAAACAGCATTGTTCCCGATGATATCGCGCCAAAGGTGATATATTTGAATGCCGCTTCACTCGAACGTGGACTATGTGTCAAGAAGCCAGCGAGGATGTAGGAGGTAAGACTGACTGTTTCGAGCGAGAGGTAGATCATCAGGAGATGGGTTGACGATGCCATCAGATACATACCCAGCGTCACGGCAAGCAGAAGTGCGTAGTATTCACCCTTCGTTTCCGGATCGAGTTCAGCGGAACGCACCGAAAATAGAATCGTTGCAGCGGTAGCAGCCGAGATAATAATTTTGAAGAACACGGCGAAACTATCAAGTCTGACCATGCCGAGGAACAAGGATCGGTCTTCGGATCCAATCACAATTGCTGTGATCACCGCTATTACAAGTCCGGTGAGCGATAGATAGGCGGCACCATCGCTGCCTCGTTTTTTCGACGCCAGATCATATAAGATGACGGTTACCGCAAAGACAACTAAAACGATTTCTGGTATAAAGTAAGGAATACTTGCAATGTTTGGCAATGAACTCTCCCCTTATTGTACAAGCGGCAATATGCTCACAGCTTCTCTAAACATATCAATGGCGATTGAGGGCCAAATGCCCAGTACAATCGTAAGGATGCCCAACGGGACCAATGTTGCGATTTCGCGTCCATTGATTTCGGTGATAGCTTCGTATTTCGGATTCAACTCTCCCAGAAAGACGCGCTGTAACGTCCAGAGGAAGTAAGCCGCCCCGATAACAATACCGGCGGTTGAAAGGATTGTCAGCACTTTGAATTTACTGTATGCCCCCAGCAGCGACAACGCTTCTCCGACAAAACCGCTGAGTCCCGGCAGTCCTAAGGATGCCATAAATGCCAGTGTCGTTATGCCGGTGTATATTGGCATTTTGCTGCCGAGTCCACCGAAGCCATTGATTTCGCGGTGATGTGCTCGGTCATACACAACGCCCACTAGGAGAAACAGCATCGCGCTAATCACCCCGTGGTTGAACATCTGAAGGATAGCACCGGTTAGCCCGCTCTCATTCCGTGCTGCAAGCCCTATCAGGACAAATCCCATGTGACCAATACTGGAGTAGGCAACAAGTTTTTTGAAGTCGGTCTGCGCTAATGCACAGAGTGAGCCGTAAACGATGTTGATAAAGCCGAGGATTGCCAACGAGTTCCCCCACCTGCCTTCACCGTTGCAGAAGAAGTCCATCCCTTCAGGCAGCATCGCAAAATTCACACGAACGAGTCCATAAGTTCCCATCTTCAAAAGGATGCCTGCAAGGATGACGCTAATCGCGGTTGGTGCTTCTACGTGAGCGTCGGGTAGCCATGTGTGGAAGGGGAAGATAGGCACTTTGACTGCAAAGCCGATGAAGAAACCGAGAAACGCCCATATCTGGAACGTGCGCTCTGCGAGTGCGTGACCTGGGGTCTTCGCCAGTTCAATCAGTGTTGGAATATCAAAGGTGTCTCCCTTGAGATAAACGGCAATCATGGCGATAAGCATTAGCACACTACCGAACAGAGTATACAGGAAAAACTTAATTGCCGCATACTCACGTCTCGGTCCGCCCCATACTCCGATCAGGAAGTACATCGGAAGCAGTGTGAGCTCAAAGAAGACATAGAATAGGAACATATCCAGAGCGCAGAAGAAACCGATCATCCCCGTTTCTAAGAGTAGAAACAGTGCAAGGTAGGCTTTGATTCCTTTCTCGATTTTCCACGATGCGAGGACGCATATCGGACCCAATAGTGCTGTCAGAAGCACCAGTGTAACGCTTAGTCCGTCAATCCCGACGTGGTAGTGGATATTGAATGCCTTAATCCACATCATGTTTTCTTCAAACTGATGTCCCGAATCGGATCGGTCATAATTAATAAAAAGAAAGACTGCAATCAGCAGCGGGATCAGCGTGACAATAAACGTCACACGCTTGGCGAGTTCCTCCTGTTCTCGCCGAATAGCAAACAAAACTAAAAGCATCCCTAGCAGGGGGATAAAAATCATCAACGATAACATCCAGTGAAATCCTCCTAAAAGTTGATTCAAGGTTTATTTAGTCAACGCCCGTATTCCTAAACTGATAAACGCATTGGTTCGACTGCTTACTTAACCTAGAATAACACAAGTTGCCTCTTCCCTTGTCGCTCAGGGGCTTGAGGTTGTGGTGTACTCTTGCTATACACGTTGCGCTTCTCTGGAGCGCGCGGATTGCCCCTATCGCCTTCTATAGACATATCGCTCCTCTGGAGCGAAAGGCGGAGTCCTGTAGTTTTAACAGAAAACCGATGGATCTCCAATAACTAGGTTCTGTTGACATTTGGCAGATTGAATCCATCTTGATTGACTTTGAACGCATTACCCCGGTGATTTAAGACAAATGTAACGGAGATCTCCGTTACCTACGAATTGCGCTTGCTTCTATGTCCCGGTGAGCACTATCGTAGTGAACAACGATCGTTGTTCACTACAACTCATTTACCGTGGGAGCCCCTTTCAGGGTTTGCCGAATTGGGAACATCAAAATGCCAACACGCCCTAGCAACTTACGTTAGAATAAAGCACGGAAAATCAAAATTAACAGCACAACACCGCCCAAAACCGCTAGCAGATAATTTTGGATCATGCCCGTTTGAACCCGTCTGACCCTGCCACCGATTGACCAAGTAACTCGGGCGACCAAATTGACCAGTCCATCGACAAAGGTGTCATCGAACCATCCTGCGACTCGAGCACACCCTGCCTGTACAGCGATACCAACTCCGTTGACAATTCCATCAATGAAACGCAAATCAAACAGTCCGAGAACTTTTGAGCCAGCGACGGTAAGTGCGACAAGCACGCCATCGTACAATTCATCAAAATAGTATTTGTTCCATAGCAGCGTGTAAATCGGTCGCAGTCTTGCTGCAACAGCGTCAGCAGAAAACTTTCTCCAGTAATAGAAAAGGGCGGATAACCCGATGCCGACAATGACGATAACGAACGATAGCGGCACTACGATGTTATGCGCTTTATCGTGGTCTGGGTCATGGTGCACTGCTGCGTCGTCGTGATGTGCATCTTCTGCGGCGTGTGCGTCAGAAAGTCCTAACTGTGCATGTAAGGCACCTTGATTTGAATCGTATCTTGCATGTTTCGGCGCGTGGATGTGGGGTTGCCCCGGTTGTTTCACATATTTTCCAAATGACCATTTGTTGACGATTGGGAAACTGAGAACCGCTAGAATAATCAGCGGAATTGCCATCTTCAAAGGCGATTCGTGTGCACCGTCGTGCATTTCTTGATTGCGGGGTTCCCCGGTAAAAGTCATAAAGATGAGGCGGAACATATAAAATGCGGTGATAACAGCTGCGAGCGCCGCCATGCCAAATAAAATATAGTGATGGACCGAATTCCAAGAGATTGCCCTGTAGAGAACCTCAACAAGGATAGCATCTTTGCTCCAGAACCCTGACAAGATATAAGGCACCCCAGCAATTGACAACGTTGCGATCAGCATTGTCACGAAGGTGATGGGCATCTTATGCCTCAACCCTCCCATGTGGCGCATATCTTGTGCGGGGTCAATGCCAAAGCTATCGAATGAGGCTGCGTGTGCGTCGGTATGCCCATGGTCGTCATCGTGCGCGTGGTCATGGTCGTGGTCGTGAGCATGGTGGGCGGCATGGAAGGCGTGGATGACGCTGCCGGATCCGAGGAACAGTAGGGCTTTGAAAAACGCGTGTGTTGTGAGGTGGAAAAGTCCTGCGACATAACTCCCTGCTCCAATCGCCAACATCATATACCCCAACTGGCTGATGGTCGAATAGGCAAGGACCCGCTTAATATCAAACCGTACAATGGCAATCGTCGCTGCGACTAGTGCCGTGATGCCCCCGACATACGCAATGAACAATGATGAATCCGCGGTAAGGATTGGGAACATTCGGGCGGTAAGATAAACCCCTGCGGCGACCATCGTCGCAGCGTGAATTAAGGCACTGACAGGTGTGGGACCTTCCATCGCATCCGGAAGCCATGTGTGCAGGGGGATTTGCGCCGACTTGCCGATAGCACCGCAGAAGATTAGCACACCGGCAATCGACAACCAAGTCATGTCACCGGCGGTTAAATTACTGGCGAGTGCGAAAATGCCCTCATCACCGTATAGAGATAAAGTGCGGAATTTGGTAAAAAGCATCATCATGCCGATGAACATCCCGACATCCCCGACGCGGGTCGTCATGAACGCTTTTTTACACGCATTCGCTGGAGCGTCTTGTTCAAACCAGAATCCGATGAGCAGGTAAGAGCAGACACCGACAAGTTCCCAGCCGATATAGATACCGAGCAGGTTGTCAGACACAACCAAGAAAAGCATGGAGAAGGAGAACAACGACAGGAAGGCAAAGAATCGAGGGTAGCGGGGATCTCCGTGCATATATCCGATTGAAAAGATGTGCACAAGGCTACTGACAATCGTGACGACGAGGAGCATGACGGAGGTCACGCTGTCAAAGAGGAAGCCCATTGAAAAGTTGACTGAGCTCAGCGGCAGCCATGTGAGTGAGTGTATCTCTGCGCCATCGTGCGAAAATTTATCTGGATCATTGATAACGTTTGTAAACAGGAGGACAGAGCAGATAAATGCCACAAGCATTGCTGCGGTTGAAACCAGATCTTGGCGGCGATAATTGCGTCCGGTCAGCGATAGGAGACCGAAAAACGCAAACGCTGCAAGGGGGGCGAGCAAAATAATGCTAATGAGAGGTATAATAGGCATATAATAATCTCCTAATGCGGGCATTCAAGAGCTCGGAGGAGAGGCAAATTTCCTCTGTATACAGAAAGAATATGGTCGGAATTTTACTCTCGAAGTTCATCCAATGCACTCGATCTTTTTTTATCCCTTCAAAGTGTCAGTCTCGTCGGGACTGATGGTGCGGAACTCTCTATAAATTGCCAAAATGATGGCTAAAAAGACAGCGGCTTCGGCAGCGGCAAGAACAATTCCAAAGAGTGCGATGACCTGACCGCTAATATCGTCAGGCGGCGTTACGAATCGGGAAAAGGCAGCAAAGTTAAGGTTACAGGAATTGAGGATCAATTCGATTCCCATCAGGATGCTGATAGCGTTCCTGCGCGTCAAAACACAAAAGATTCCAAGACAGAATAGTATAATGCTGATGACGAGGTAGCTCTGCAAACTCATTCGTCCCTGACCTCCTTACGAGAAATAAGTGCCGCACCAATCAACGCAACCAATAGCAGAATCGATACGATCTCAAATGGCAGCAAAAACTCCTCTTTCATAATCATCTCGCCAATCTTGCGAGTTGTCGGTTCCTGCGATGCCCCTACGTCCACATTTTCCCATTGTGGCGTATTCGTAATAACACTCAGAAGCAAGCCAAAGAGAATTAGGGATACGACACCTCCCCAGAACATCTGTCCGCGTTCGAGTTTTAGCTTCAGGTCCAAGCTGCCACTTGTCATCATAACACCGAACAAAATCAGTACCAGAATACCGACCGACATAGACTATTACTTGGGTGGCGGCAAGGAAATCCGCTTGCAAGAAAACATAAAGCCCTGCAACACTAAAAAGGGTAACCATCAGTGAGAAGGCAGCGTGAACGATATTTTTTATGGTCACGACAATAACTGCCGATCCAATGGTCAGCAGGGCAAAAAGGTAGAAAACCAATTGTTGAAGATTTAATTCCATAAGTGAACTCAATTACTCAATTTCGGGTTTGAATTTTTTATACGGTAGTTCACCGGAGCCAGATTAGTCTGCGGCTTCTGCCTCAGTGGATTCATCAGCCGGTTGCTCATACATTTCTGGTTTCGCAAATTCGTAAATCAGGTCTGTCCGATCGAAGGTCGAGTACTCAACCCCGTCGCTAAGATTATCGAACATAATCAGGCACTCTGTTGGACAAACTTCGGTACAAAGTCCGCAGTACATACAGAGCGACATATCAATGTCAAACTGATCGAGGTAGAAAATCACCGGCTTCCGCTCAACGATATTAGCGATTTCTTCACTTGAAACGGTGGCGGTTCTATCGTCGCGTGTCTGAATTGTAACAGTTGTATTGGACGCCGGTTTTTCGTCTCCCTCAATATTGCCGACAATTTCTGTCCTATCTTTGAGATGGACCACGTTCATACTGTCCCAAAGTCGTTCGCCTTTGGGCAGTTTTTGGGTAACAATGGTAATGCAATCGAACAGGACAGATCAGCTCGCATTTCTTACAACCGATACAGTCCTCAACGCGGTTGTGTAGCTTTCCTCGATACCCTTTGGGGATCTCGCGTACATTTTTCTTCTGTTCAAAGGACCGGTCATAAGGATATTGGTGGGTGACGGAGGGTTGTAACATCTGCTTGAAGGTAATACGCATACCGACGAGTGCTGTATAAACCCCAAAATAGATATTTGACAAGTAGTGACGCATGATGAAATCTCCTCAACGGTAAATTTGTGCACCTTTGGCTTCTATGTTGTAGCAGAAACTCGCCTCTCCGCCGAACTTGGCGGTGGTTTAGGTCCCTTAGATAAACTCTTACCTAGCACGCCAAACGTGAAAATGAGTCCAAGTATAATAGCAGCAATACTGATAATGATACTTAATCGCGAATCTTTCGGGAAAATCAATCCCCAGATTCCGACACCCAAAATATTGAAAAATGAGATTGGTATAAAATACTTCCAGCATAGGTTCATCAACTGGTCCACACGCAGGCGCGGCAGCGTCCAGCGAATCCACATCATGACGAACACCAAGAAAAGTGTTTTGATCACTACACCCAAGAGCCCACCGAGGGTAATCGCTCTCAAGACAAAGCCAAGAATGCCTGCTTCGGGCAACATCCCTGCGGGTCACAATCCCGTGCCAACCGCCGAGGAATAGCGTTGAAGCGATTGCACTGACTGCGAACATATTCGCGTATTCGGCGATGAAGAACAGCGCGAAACGCATACCGCTATATTCGGTATGAAAACCAGCGACCAGTTCAGATTCTGCTTCGGGGAGATCAAACGGGGTTCGGTTGACTTCAGCAATAGATGATATGAAGAAAACGAAGAATGCAATGAAGGTGAACGGCGTCCGAAAAATTAGCCAATTCGCTATCCCGTCTTGTCCTTTGACGATTTCCTGCATATTCAGGGTCTGCGCTAGCATGACAACTGATAAAATGCCGAGACCGATTGGAATTTCATAGCTGACGATTTGGGCGGCAGACCGCATCGCCCCAAGCAGTGACCATTTGCTATTGGAAGCCCAACCTGCCATAATCACGCCCATCACAATGACGGAGGAGATTGCCATGATATAAAAGATACCGATGTTTAATTCACTGACCAGAATAGATCTGCCGAACGGGATTGCGGCAAATACAGCAAAGGAGCAGGCGAAGATAATGTATGGTGAAACCACAAAGAGAAATTTATCTCCCTCTCGCGGGATGTGGTCTTCCTTGAAAATGAGCTTAACCCCATCGGCTAAGGTTTGAAGGATACCGTGCGGTCCCACTCGCATCGGTCCAACCCGATCTTGGATATGTGCGGAAACTTTCCGTTCGGCTAGAACAAGGCCGAGCGGGAGTAGGGGAACAACGGCAACGAAAATTACGCAACATGCGAGCATAATTACCAATTCGCCGAGCGGGGCGGGGAGATGTGTTAAAACTGGTGCATGCTCTTGGACGAACCTTTGTGCCCAACTCTCGGAGGATTGGACGAAAAATTGATATAAGTTTTCAGCCCCGATTGCATCGGGATTCCAGGCAACTTGTAGACCGAGTGGCATTCAAACTCCTTATGCGTGAAACATGATTCGTGAAGATAGGCATCAGAATCTAGCGATCAACCTCTCCCATGACAATATCAATGCTTCCAATGATTGCGATAATGTCCGCGACCATTAATCCTCGACTCAACTCTCGCAACGCGCTTAACGCCGTAAAGCAGGGCGATTTGGCTTTCACACGCACTGGCTTCGGTGTTCCATCACTGACAATGTAAAATCCCAGTTCCCCACGGGGGGCCTCACTTCGGGAAAAGATTTCACCCTTGGGGGGACGCACTGCTTTCAGTTCTGCTTGAACGGGCCCATCGGGAAGACCGGAATCAAGAATTTGCCGGATGATCCGGACCGATTCTTTCATCTCATCCATCGGACTTTATAGCGATTCCAGCAATCGCCTGCGACTATGCCAAGCTCCGGAATGTCTCTGCCAACGGGAATGTCAAAGTCGAATCGAGTCATAAATGGAGTAAGGTTCGTCTTTGCGCAGATCCCATTGTAACCCTGCCCCACGGAGGTTGGGACCCGTAATGCCGTAGTTAATCGCCATCTCCGTGTCCATGACAGCGACATTTGCTGTGCGCTCAATGAAGATGCGGTTGGCTGTGAGTAGCGCGTTATATTGATCGATCTGCGGCTCGAAATAGTCGATAAATTCCTTAACTCATCCATAAAACCCGGCGGTTTGGATCCCTTGAGACTCCTCCGACACGATATAGTTGTACGTCAATCGTGCACCACAAATCTTTTCAAAAAGCAGGAGTATTTTCTCGCGGTCTCTAAAGGCGTAGAGAGGAACGGGTAAAAAGTAAAAGCACCGATGTCCATGCCGTAGGTTCCAAAGGACAGCAGATGGCATCACCAATTCGATTCAGTTCACCGATGAGGACACGAAGGTATTCCCCTCGTTCAGGAACGACGGGAAATTTCTTCTCATCCGTCGCCATTAACTGCTCAACCGCTAGACAGAAGCCCCAGTTCATATTCATCGCTGCGATATAATCCAGCCGGTCGGTAAACGGAATGATTCGCTGCTGATAGGTCAGATTCTCGGAGTGTTTTCAATAGCGTAGCGGTGCAGCGTGTAAGTGTGATAGATACCCAAGATGCGCCGTGATCGCGTCGCGACAATCTCCCAGCAGATCTCAACTCAAGCTTAACACACGCATGGGTACTTGGGTGCTGCGGGGCCAGGTACCCATGCTAACAATCATCTCAGCTGAAAATGGCGTCAGTTCGATAAAGTGCAGTGCTGCTGTGGTTGCTGCCATGATGATTTCCTTAACCCGGTTAGGTGACGACGGAAGAAGTAGCTAGCCTTTTTAGATTTTTAGAGGACGGCCATAGATAGAGTTGGTGTGGCAGTCAGCCCGGTTTGCGGTTTCGACTATCTGAGTTGCCCATATAAGTCGCAAGCCATCGGTTAAAGGATAAACATCTTTATTGAGAAAACTGTTCATAAAGAATCTGCTTGTATTAACGAACAAAAAGCGCTGGCGGTGGACGGCTTGGACATGAGTAGATCGTTCGATTAAAGACGATATATGAAACCTTCAACGGTTTTTTTCAGCTCTTTATTTCTATTTTTGGGTTTTCGCCAAAGCGCCGTCAGGCATAACCAGTCTAGAAAGAGTTGCGGGTTTATATGGGGAAAGTCTTCACGAAGGAAGTCAAAGCAATTAGCTCCCCGAATTCCGAAAACGCTCGTCGGTGTTTCGCGACGATAGTAAACCGATAC